CCCAATGTTGCAGGGCCAATTTAAACCAAGGGCTTTTATTTGCACAAACTTAGTAGACACCCATAAGAACATGTTTCATGCTAAACATCTAAGCTCTAGCTCATTGGGCTTTTTAAAAGAAGATTTTTTTTAAGTTTTTACTATACACATATAGTTAAAAACAATGACACCCCTGGGGCGGGCCAGTTTTGACCCCAGGGCTTTTATTTGAACAAACTTTGTAGACACTTACTAGAAGATGTTTCATGCTTAATATCTAAACTCTAGCTATTTGGGTTTTTTCAAAGAAGATTTTAAGTATTTGCTATACACATATAAAGAAAATCAATGACCCCCGGGGCGGGGCCAATTTTGACCCCAGGTCTTTTATTTGAACAAACTTTGTAGACACTCACCAAAAGATGTTTCATGCTTAATATCTTAACTTTAGCTATTTGGGTTTTTTCAAAGAAGATTTTTTAAGTTTTTGCTATACACATATAAGGAAAATCAATGACCCCCGGGGTGGTGCAAATTTTGACCCCATGGCTTTTATTTGAACAAACTTGGTAGACACTTATTAGAACATGTTTGATGCTAAATATCTTAGCCATAGCTCTTTGAGATCTTTAAAAGAAGATTTTTTAAGTTTCTACTATATGCATATAGGGTAAATCAATGACCCCCTGGGGTGGGGCCAATTTTGACCCCAGGGCTTTTATTTGAACAAACTTGGTAGACACTTATTAGAACATGTTTCATGCTAAATATCTTAGCTCTAACTCTTTTGGTTCTTTAAAAGAAGATTTTTAAGTTTTCACTATATGCATATAGGGAAAATCAATGACCCCCTGGGGCGGGGCCAATTTTGACCCCAGGGCTTTTATTTGAACAAAATTGGTAGACACCTATTAGAACATGTTTGATGCTCAATATCTTAGCCATAGCTCTTTGAGTTCTTTAAAAGAAGATTTTTATAAGTTTTTACTATATGCATATAGGGAAAATCAATGACCCCCTGGGGCGGGGCCAATTTTGACCCCAGGGCTTTTATTTGAACAAACTTGGTAGACACTCATTAGAAGATGTTTCATGCTAAATATCTTAGCTCTAGCTCTTTGGGTTCTTTAAAAGAAGATTTTTTAAGTTTTTACTATATGCATATAGGGAAAATCTATGACTCCCTGGGACGGGGCCAATTTTGACCCCAGGGCTTTTATTTGAACAAACTTGGTAGACATTCACTAGAAGATGTTTCATGCCAAATATCTAAGCTCTAGCTCTTACGGTTCTTTAAAAGAAGATTTTTTAAATTTTTACTATATGCATATAGGGAAAATCAATGACCCCCCGGGGCGGGGCCAATTTTGACCCCAGGGCTTTTATTTGAACAAACTTGGTAGACACTCACTAGAAGATGTTTCATGTCAAATATCTTAGCTCTAGCTCTTTGGGTTCTTTAAAAGAAGATTTTTTAAGTTTTTACTATATGCATATAAGGAAAATCTATGACCCCCTGGGGCAGGGCCAATTTTGACCTCAGGGCTTTTATTTGAACAAACTTGGTAGACACTCATTAGAAGATGTTTCATGCTAAATATCTTACCTCTAGCTCTTTGGGTTCTTTAAAAGAAGATTTTTTAAGTTTTTACTATATGCATATAGGGAAAATCAATGACCCCCCCGAGGCGGGGACAATTTTGACCCCAGGGCTTTTATTTGAACAAACTTGGTAGACATTCACTAGGAGATGTTTCATGCCAAATATCTAAGATCTAGCTCTTATGGTTCTTTAAAAGAAGATTTTTTAAGTTTTTACTATATGCATATAGGGAAAATCAATGACCCCCCAGGGCGGGGCCAATTTTGACCCCAGGGCTTTAATTTGAACAAACTTGGTAGACACTCACTAGAAGATGTTTCATGCTTAATATCTTAGCTCTAGCTCTTTGGGTTCTTTAAAAGAAGATTTTTTAAGTTTTTACAATATGCATATAGGGAAAATCAATTACCCCCTGGGGCCGGGCCAATTTTGACCCCAGGGCTTTTATTTGAACAAACTTGGTAGACACTCACTAGAAGATGTTTCATGCCAAATATCTAAGCTCTAGCTCTTAGGGTTGTTTAAAAGAAGATATTTAAAGATTTTTCTTTTGGTTGCCATGGCAACCAGAGTTCTGCATGGAATTAAATTCTTTGAACAATTTTTAAAGGTGACCACCAAAGGAACATTCCTGTGAAGTTTGGATGAAATTGGCTCAGTGGTTTATGTGGAGATGTCATTTAAAGCAAAAGTTTACGGACGGACGGACGGACGCCGGACGGACGGACGCCGGACGAAAAGCGATCACAAAAGCTCACCCTGTCACTTTGTGACAGGTGAGCTAAAAAAATGGGGGCCTCCATTACTAAATACAATTTAGACTTCTTTCGCTGTGTTTTGTACATTAAGGACTGAAATTGGTGGGTTTTATTTGCAACAAGGGTGCCATAGTCACAAAATACGCCCGTTTACGAAAAAGCTTTAGATGGAGATGGGGGCATTATGGATAAGTGTTATCTAGCAAGCAAGTTTTTATTCTTGGCACTGTGTTGTTAAATGAACCTTAAAACAAATCAATAGGGAAGATATGCACAGAATGTGTGACCTTGACCTTGGTTGCAGGGACCTGAATTTTATGCACGGCACTCAGCCTCACAATGATGAACATTTGTGCCAAATTATATTGAAATCCCTCTATGCATGTAGAAGTTTTGCTCCAGACAAGTGTTTTTCTATGAGCTCTAACTGTGACCTTCACCTTTGACCTAGAGACTTGGTTTATGTGCAGGGCACTACGTCTCATGGTGGTGAACAATTCTATAAAAGTAACATTAAAATTCCTCCATGCATGTAGAAAATATGCTCCGGACAACATCTGGATATTTAATCATCTCCAGTGACCTTGACCTTGCAAATATTTACCTAAATTAAATGTGTAACACCTGTAGTCATGATAGTTACCATTTGTGCTACAATCCATCAATAAATGATGACTAAATGGTCCCTATAACCATCTTCAAATTTTTATCTGAACTTTGACCTCTATGTGTAACCTTGACTTTGGTCGCAGGGATCTGAATTTTGCATGCGACACTTAGCCTCACAATGGTGAACATTTGTGCCAAGTTATATTGAAAACCCCCTATGAATGTTTTGCTCCGGACAAGCGTTTTTCAATGAGCTCTAAGTGTGACCTTGACCTTTGACCTGGAGACCTGGATCATGCATGGAGCAATACATATCATGGTGGTGAACATTTCCATAAAGTATTATAAAAATTCTTCCATACATGTAGGAGATATGCTCCAGACAAAATCTGGATATTTCACCATCTTTAGTGACCTTGACCTTGTATATATTGACCTAAAGTACATGTGTCACAGCCGTAGTCATTATAATGACCATTTGTGTTACAATCCCTCAATAAATGATGATTAAATCGTCCCTATACACATCTTCATATTTTTATTTTTTTTTAAACGGGCGTATAAAAAGTACATGTAATTTAATTACTAAAAAATTCTGATTTAAGATTTTATTCTAGGGAAATACATTTCATTACAATTCTTAATCTTTGAATGAGCTGAACTGATATTTACTTGAAAATTAAAATATAATTAAATTTCTATGAGAAAGTATTTACATTTGATAAGGTAATTACTGTATGATCTTTATGAACAAATACCAAGTCTACAGAACACAATAGTTATCACAGTTAAGAATCTTGACCAATGAATGAAACATGTGTAAATAAATGTTACATTCTTTAGAACATACTCAAGTCCAAGAAAGAGGATTATTTCATGCCCTTTGATTAAATTCTATTTTTAGAATTGAAAGTGAAAATAGATCAAGGGGAGTAATTGTGTAAGTCATTTATGAACAAAGTAATAACTTTGTTGTCTCCCTTTGATTAAATTCTATTTACAAAATCTGGATATTTCATCATCTTTAGTGACCTTGACCTTGTATATATTGACCTAAATTATATGTATCACAGCCATAGTCTTGATAATGACCATTTGTGTTACAATCCCTCAATAAATGATGACTAAATGGTCCATATACACATCTTCATATTTTTATCTGAACTTTGACCTCTATGTGTGACCTTGACCTTGGCCGCAAGGACCTGAATCTTGCACGCGACACTCCGCCTCACAATGGTGAACATTTGTGCCAAGTAATATTGAAATCCCTCTATACATGTGGAAGTTTTGCTCCGGACAAGCATTTTTCAATGAGCTCTAAGTGTGACCTTGACCTTTGACCTAGAGACCTGGTTCATGTGCGCGACACTGCTCCTCATAGTGGTGAACATTTATATGAAGTTTCATTAAAATCCCTCCATACATGTAGGAGATATGCTCCGGACAAAATTGGACGCCGCCCGCCCGCCATGGGCGTTCCCATAATACGTCCCGTCCCGTTTTTCAAACGGGCGTATAAAAAGGCTAAAAACTGATCTTTTTGAGAACCCTGCCACATTATTTTGATGAATTTTTTTCTTATGGTACTTTTTCGTGGCTAAAAATCTACTGGCCCATCGGACAACCAACTTTGCAATAATCACCGGACCGATGCTAAATTAAGTGGCCTGGAGCCTCGGACTGGCGCTTATTTCAAAGACTAGTGTTTTTAACAAAATGCCTTTTCATTATCTACAATGTATATGACATGTCTGTTTTAGCCTTTTCATATTATATATAACATACCTGATCTAGCCTTTTCATATTCTATATAACATACCTGATTAAGCCTTTTTCATATTCTATATAACATACCTGTTTTAGCCTTTTCATATTGTATATAACATACCTAAATTAGCCTTTTCATATTCTATATAACATACCTGATATAGCCTTTTCATATTCTATATAACATACCTGATTTAACATTTTCATATTCAATATGACATACCCGATATAGCCTTTTCATTTTCTATATAACATATCTGATTTAGCCTTTTTATATCCTATATAACATACCTGATTTAGCCTTCACATATTCTATATACCATACATGATTCAGCCTTTTCTTACTCTATACAACATACCTGATTTAGCCTTTTTCATATTTTATATATTAACATTCCTTCTAACCTATTCATATTCTATATAACATGCCTGATTTAGCGTTTTTCTTATTATTTATAGCATACCTGATATTCTATATAACATACCTGATTTCGCCTTTTCATATTGAAACTGTTTTTGTTGAGGAGAATCTTCTACCTTGCGTCTTTTTATCTCCTACAACATAAATTATAATACAAATAATTGTGTTTTGTTTAGTAATTTTCAAAAGTATCTATTGTATACAGTAATATTGTCATTTTAATATTGAAATTGAAGAAAATAGTATTCACTTTCATTAGCAAACAGTGTCCAAATATATCTAAACAAGAGGGCCATAATGGCCCTGAAATCGCTCACCTTTATAAAGGCCTCCGGGGCGGGCAAATTTTAACCGACGGGCTTTTATTTGGACAAACTTGGTAGACACCCATTTGAAGATTTTTCATGATAAATATCTAAGCTCTAGCTGTAAGAAGATTTTTAACCTTTTACCCCATGAGCATATTGCGAAAAATGGCCGTTTTCATTGAAAAGCCTCCTGTAACAAGTTCAAACTGCTATGAAACTATGAAAAATGCTTCAATGAAACTTGGCACAAATGTTGACTACATGTACACCATAGCCTCTGTAACAGCATGCTCAATGGTAAATTTCCTGTTACCATGGCAAAGGGGGGACATCTCAAATTTGCCTAAAATCACTATTTTGCATTGTTTTTTTTTTCCATCAAAAGTGATTTCAAAGTGCTGCAACTTCTCAATGAATTGAGATAGAGTAAAAGGCTTTTCAGCGTCAGTTACTAGTTACCCTAAGATCGACCTGTGGCCATTAAGCCTGTCACATGTCTAAAATTTTCTTGGCGATGACAGGGACTCCGCCCCCTTCAAACCCCCAAACAGAAGGGGGCACATCCCCCTTCTGGCAACCCCCTGATGTAATATTTGGATGGGGGACGGCGCCAAAAAAGTGGTCACTTTTTTATCAACATTTCTCAAACGAAAAACAGTGTTTTGGGGCCTAAATAGGGCATTTTTTCACTGTTTGAGGCCTCAAAAAAGGGGGGGGGCAAAAAGCCGTCGAAACACGCTTATATAAGGGAAAAGGTTAAGTTTATACTATCAACATATAAGGAAGAACAAATTTTACCCCATCCCCCCTCTGGACGGGGCCAACTTTGTCCCCAGGGCTTTTATTTGAACAAACTTGGTAGTCACTCACTAGAAGATAGTTCATACTTGATATCTAGCTCTAGCTCTTTGAGTTTTTTAAAAGATTTTTTTTAAAGTTTGTACTATATACATATAAGGAAAAATCAATAATCCCTATGGCGGGCCAATTTTAACCCCAGGGCCTTAATTTGAACATTAATGGTAGATACCCATTAGAAGATGTTTCATGATAAATATCTTAGCTCTAGCTCTAAGGGTGTTTTTAAAGATTTTTTTTAAAGTTTTTACTATAAAAATATAAGGAAAACCAATGATCCCCGGGGAGGGGCCAATTTTGACCCCAGGACCCTTATTTGACTCTGTAGACACCCACTGGAAGATGTTTCATGCTTGATATCTAAGCTCTAGCTATTTGGGCTTTTAAAAAGAAGATTTTTTAAGTTTTTACTATATGCATATAGGGAAGATCAATGACCCCCCGGGGCGGGGCCAATTTTGACCCCAGGGCTTTTATTTGAACAAACTTGGTAGACACTCACTAGAAGATGTTTCATGCCAAATATCTAAGCTCTAGCTCTTAGGGTTGTTTAAAAGAAGATATTTAAAGATTTTTCTTTTGGTTGCCATGGCAACCAGAGTTCTGCATGGAATTAAATTCTTTGAACAATTTTTAAAGGTGACCACCAAAGGAACATTCCTGTGAAGTTTGGATGAAATTGGCTCAGTGGTTTATGTGGAGATGTCATTTAAAGCAAAAGTTTACGGACGGACGGACGATGGACGGACGGACGCCGGACGAAAAGCGATCACAAAAGCTCACCCTGTCACATTGTGACAGGTGAGCTAAAAAAATGGGGGCCTCCATTACTAAATACAATTTAGACTTCTTTCGCTGTGTTTTGTACATTAAGGACTGAAATTGGTGGGTTTTATTTGCAACAAGGGTGCCATAGTCACAAAATACGCCCGTTTACGAAAAAGCTTTAGATGGAGATGGGGGCATTATGGATAAGTGTTATCTAGCAAGCAAGTTTTTATTCTTGGCACTGTGTTGTTAAATGAACCTTAAAACAAATCAATAGGGAAGATATGCACAGAATGTGTGACCTTGACCTTGGTCGCAGGGACCTGAATTTTATGCATGGCACTCAGCCTCACAATGATGAACATTTGTGCCAAATTATATTGAAATCCCTCTATGCATGTAGAAGTTTTGCTCCAGACAAGTGTTTTTCTATGAGCTCTAACTGTGACCTTCACCTTTGACCTAGAGACTTGGTTTATGTGCAGGGCACTACGTCTCATGGTGGTGAACAATTCTATAAAAGTAACATTAAAATTCCTCCATGCATGTAGAAAATATGCTCCGGACAACATCTGGATATTTAATCATCTCCAGTGACCTTGACCTTGCAAATATTAACCTAAATTAAATGTGTAACACCTGTAGTCATGATAGTTACCATTTGTGCTACAATCCATCAATAAATGATGACTAAATGGTCCCTATAACCATCTTCAAATTTTTATCTGAACTTTGACCTCTATGTGTAACCTTGACTTTGGTCGCAGGGATCTGAATTTTGCATGCGACACTCAGCCTCACAATGGTGAACATTTGTGCCAAGTTATATTGAAAACCCCCTATGAATGTTTTGCTCCGGACAAGCGTTTTTCAATGAGCTCTAAGTGTGACCTTGACCTTTGACCTGGAGACCTGGATCATGCATGGAGCAATACATATCATGGTGGTGAACATTTCCATAAAGAATTATAAAAATAAAGTAAAAGGCTTTTCAGCGTCAGTTACTAGTTACCCTAAGATCGACCTGTGGCCATTCAGCCTGTCACATGTCTAAAATTTTCTTGGCGATGACAGGGACTCCGCCCCCTTCAAACCCCCAAACAGAAGGGGGCACATCCCCCTTCTGGCAACCCCCTGATGTAATATTTGGATGGGGGACGGCGCCGAAAAAGTGGACACTTTTTTATCAACATTTCTCAAACGAAAAACAGTGTTTTGGGGCCTAAATAGGGCATTTTTTCACTGTTTGAGGCCTCAAAAAAGGGTGGGGGGGGGCAAAAAGCCGTCGAAACACGCTTATATAAGGGAAAAGGTTAAGTTTATACTATCAACATATAAGGAAGAACAAATTTTACCCCATCCCCCCTCTGGACGGGGCCAACTTAGTCCCCAGGGCTTTTATTTGAACAAACTTGGTAGTCACTCACTAGAAGATAGTTCATACTTGATATCTAGCTCTAGCTCTTTGAGTTTTTTAAAAGATTTTTTGTACTATATACATATAAGAAAAAATCAATAATCCCTATGGCGGGCCAATTTTAACCCCAGGGCCTTAATTTGAACAAAAATGGTAGACACCCATTAGAAGATGTTTCATGATAAATATCTTAGCACTAGCTCTAAGGGTGTTTTTAAAGATTTTTTTTAAGTTTTTACTATAAAAATATAAGGAAAACCAATGATCCCCGGGGAGGGGCCAATTTTGACCCCAGGACCCTTATTTGAACAAACTCTGTAGACACCCACAGGAAGATGTTTCATGCTTGATATCTAAGCTCTAGCTATTTGGGCTTTTTAAAAGTAGATTTTTAAGTTTTTACTATATACAAGTAAGGATAAGCAATGACCCGCAAGGGCGGGACCAATTTTGACCCCAGGGCATTTATTTGAAGAAACTTGGTAGACACTGCCTGGATGATGTTTCATGCCAAATATTTAAGCTCTACTCTTTCGATTTTCTAAAAGAAGATATTTTAAGTTTTTTTTTTTTGGTTGCCATGGCAACCAGAGTTCTGCTTAGAATGTAATTCTTTTAACAATTTTTAAAGTTGACTACCAAAGAACATTCCTGTGAAGTTTGAATGAAATTGGCTTAGCGGTTTATGAGGAGACTTCTTTTAAAGTAAAAGTTGACGACGGACAGACGAAAAGCGATCACAAAAGCTCACCATGTCACTTTGCGAGAGGTGAGCTAAAAATTATCTATTCAATGAAAATCAATTTCATTGAAATGGGACAATTCTCTACAGAGAATGCCTAATTTCGACATTTTTGGGTGCAATCATACATAATTTTACAAATGAGTATTGAAAGGTTCTCCAAGATATTGGAATTGAGGGACTATAAAAACTAGAACTATCACTAAATGTGATTAATACCCCCCACAAGAGTGCTTCAGAAATGAGGATGTTACTAGTCACAGAATACCTTGTAAAATAATTGAAATATAGAGTTATGGTTGTGGGCAATTAAATATAGTTGTGGTTCTTGTATGTTGCATTTCCTTTCAATGTGGTTGGCCATTGATGAAGTTTTTTTGAATTACTCTGTAATAAGTCCAGAAAGACAAGGAAAAGAAACAAAGGGCAATAACTCTATAAATACTGAAGATGGAGTTATATCTCTTGTGCACTGCACTTCCTCTTATTGTGCTTGACCATTGTATGAAGTTGTTTTGAATTCCAAACAGTACGTTTTAAGTTATGCTCTGGACAAGGAAAAGTATCAAAGGGCAGTAACTATGTATTTTGTCAAAATGGAGTTATGGCTCTTGTGCACTGCACTTCCTTTTAATGTCCTTGACAACTGTATGAAGTTGTTTGTTTGTTTGTTTGTTTCATTTTACGCCTTTTTCCAACAGTATTTCAGTCATATAGGCGGGTAGTTTCCTAACCATCGTTCCTGGAGAGTTACACCAGTACTAGACTACCTTCCTCCGCGCTAAACTACCAAAGCATCTCCCGGGGATCGAACCCACGCCAGAGAGGTAACTGGTTTAGAAGTCATCGACTCTAACCCCTCGACCACGGAGGCGGTCATAGATGTATTGAATTTCAAACAGTAGTTTTCAAATTATGCTCTGGACAAGGAAAAGTAACAAAGGGCAATAACTCTGTAATTAGTAAAGATGGAGTTATGGTTCTTGTGCACTGCACTTCCTCTCAATGTGCTTGACCATTGTATGAAGTAATATTGAATTC